CCTGTTGTGGATTGCCTAAAGCGTTTGGAGCTATAATTTCTATGAATTTATTTAAATTGTGTGCGGGAGTCTAATGATATAACAGACATCAGACATTTAGTTACTCAGGGACCTATATTAGGGATTGTTGCTTAGTTATGTTGTATTGACAGTACTCTTCACCCAGTTAAAGTAGGTGCTAATTTTGTTCTTCAGGTCTGTTAGGCAATTCCAGATGGCTTTATGGCATCATGGTCAATGTTGAAGCTCTTGGGTAAAACAGCTAATCAACTGCTGGTGTGTGTGAAGTATTCACTGTTAGGATTATCAAGGGAAGTATCTGGTCCACGTGTTTAGGATTTTTTAGAGTCCCGAGTCAAAAGTCTCTCGGGAAAAGTAGTTCTTACAGTGGCAAGGGGCGAATGCCCTTCGAAGCGGATGCTCGATCATCAGGGAACGACGAAAGAATGAGGAAAACCCGGTTCGACAGTACAAAAGCATCCCGCAAACAGGTAAGCAACGTTTCTAAGCTGGCAAATGTTTTCGAGTGCCTGCACTTCTTGGCAACGTTTGTGGCACCAGGGGGGCGTGGCTGACGGGTTACAGCCCCTCCCGGATGCCCGCCGTCCACAGCCACCTCTCGCTCCCGGATACCTGGCCGCTGGTGCTACTATATCTTGGGCAACGCTCAGGTACGACCACAGTCCCGCTCCACCTGCAGTCTCGCTACCACGTCTCTGGTGTGTGTGTATGTGTGTGTGTTGAAGTGCCCGCGTATCGTGTGGTCACAGTGGAACGAGTGCCACAATAGCTTCCGGGAGAAACGTCTTTTGGAGTGCCACGTCGCCGCAGGTGTGTCGATTGCCACGACGACCGCTGACGAGGAACGGTGCTTTTTGATTTTGAATATCTTGATAAGCCGCATACTGGACTTAAGATGCAGATAGTGGGTGTCGCTTGGTGCATGTATGTATGTGTGTGAGCGTGTGAGTGTGGGGTGCGTGTTATAGCACATGGGGGCGGGTGGCCACGCAGAGCGTAGGTGGACGTAGTCGTGTGTACGCCGCTTTGCCCCTCCCGCTCGTTCATTCATGCGCCACTACCTAACGCGGCGACTCCTCGTGTCTCCTCTCCCTTCTCAACGCCACCTTCCTCCCATCCCTCAGTGCTCAAGCATGCTGGCACGTGTGGAAAGCCAATAGTGTGAATTCGACGCGAATGTTTCTCTTTGACGAACTGTGATAAGTGTTCCTCCAAGCCTTTTTAAGCAAGTAAGTCGAGATAAAAGACTTTGTGAGACGTTTGGTGGATTTCATAGCCATCGTTACTGGAATGCCGACGAACGAAGAGTAGGTGGTAGCGTGTGCAGACAGTTTATTGGGTGTGATGGGCGTGTGGGTAGTGCTTTTGGCCGCTCGTGTGTAGTGACATTTATTTCGTAGGATTGTGTCTGGTGGAGGATAAATTGAACATTGCGTGCTGTGTAGTGTAAAGTTAGTTAATTACGTTTTCAAATGAAAACGTTAATTGTGCAGGGTATGTGGAGTATCCGATGGGCGGAGCTTGTGTGCGAGATGTCACAGTTATAGTGACGTCACTAGTGACGTCACGGCGGGCCCCGGGTGGCAAGGCCGCGCGCAACGTTCCAGGGGCCTGACGCTCCACATCCGCCAACCGAGGACAACGTACCAGTCCTCACCCACGACCCTCGCTTAGCTACACTTTTTCTACCACGCCGCCACTTTCCTCCCTTAAATATTTAGTCGCTCTTGGTTCCCTTGGTGTCCTGCATCCCTGGCCCACGCGCGCGCTGTCAGGGGAACACCCCGTTTTGTACAAGGTGGCACCAAGCAAGATTTTTTTTTTTTTTTTTTTTTTTTTTTTTTTTTTTTTTTTTCGAAAATTATGACACGGACTGTAATCATCTTACATTTTCTTTCTTAATACTTAGTCTGCACTCGGGGAGTTGTGCGTCCAGTGAGATTAGAGATAAAAGGTCCTTGCGCATACAAGTAGGTATGAGTTGGGGCTTTACCTGGGATGTGACTGGCATATGCCACTCCTTACTGGTGTGAGTTAAGAGGTCCCGTGTTATGCTGAGGCGCGGGAGGGATCCGTTTCCAGCATCGGGCAGTTGTTTTATTGTGTTTTTTTCTTGTTCTTTTGTGATCGATTAATCATGCTGATCCATTGGATTAACTGTATATTGACTTTTGGGGGTTTTATTGTTAATTTATAAGGCAAGTGTATTTTTATTGTGTGATTCTTCGGTTAAATGAATGGAACAATTTGAAACTCGGATAAGTTTAGGAAACTTCTAGAATTTGCTTGACAGGCTCATTATCGGTGCCAGGAATGTGTTGCTTCGCAGGCACGTGCCATGCCAGCCAGCTGTGGTGACGTCACTCATGATGTCATGACTGGGGACGCCTTGTATCCTCTCTTGTCTCACTTCTCTCTATCTCTCTCCTCCTGGCTTCTCTTTGCTCCTCTTTTCCTTGCATTTTTTTTAGTGCTTCGC